AATCTAATGTTCTGAAGAGTATGTGTGGCAGTCAGTCACCGCACCGGTGTGGATATTTACTGTACTTCACAATCACAGATTCTAGCCTACGTCTTGGAATATGACCCATATAAGAATTTTCACCGTATATTGCCATCTGAACAGGTAAGTAACAAGTTTGACACGTTTGTTCTGACCAACTGAGGAAAAAAGCATTAGCCTACCATAAATCTCGCTACCAATGGTGATTAAATCTAAAGATTGGTTAGCTCATATCACATCAAACCGTTCAAATTATTATTATTGTTATACTTTATTCTCAAATGATTAATAATGGGACTTTTATTTTGAAGAAAACGGTGGGTGGCGCCGTCGTTGTCACATGCCCGACCATTTAGTAAAAACATCGTAAGTTTCTGTTGTCATCATTCACTAGTAATGCATCGCGGTTGTGTGTGTTTTTTCTTTTAAGCAGTCTATTTAGAAGAATTTAATTGAGCTAAATGGAGGAAGAAAGCACATTAAAGCACTTAATCAAAGCAATTCAACATGGAGTGCTGTGCACAGTCCGACAGGAACTCAATGAGCACGTCAACAAGCAGTCTGTCATATACTCATTTTGGGAAATCTGGAGATACTTTACTGCACTATGCTGCCAGACATGGACACATGGAAATTGTGCGTTATTTAGTAGAGGAGCTCAATATGGACATTGAAGTGTACAACAACGACTACAAGAGAGCTCTGCACGAGGCTTCTTCCATGAGTCAGTATGAGTGTGTGCGGTATCTCATTGCCAGGGGAGCGAAAATAGACAGTTTGAAGAAAGCAGACTGGTAAGTTATAATCATTGATTTGAATAAAAGAATTTGCATGTAGTGGGTGGGATATGGTATCAGGAGGTAGACTATCGCTCAACGCCTTCGATAGCTCAGTTGGTAGAGCGGAGGACTGTAGAGGTTCAGCACTGATATCCTTAGGTCGCTGGTTCGAATCCGGCTCGAAGGAAAGATTTTTAGTTTTATAACAAAATACTGTTTGCCGCTGTTTATATACAGTTGTACGTCATATAATAACAGTGGTGTTTATTGTTAAGTAAAACCATAAAGGATAATTTTCGTTAATTGAAATAAAGCTGACATAAAATAAATATTATGAAAACTGAAATAAAATAAGCTGAAGCTGAAGTACTAACATTACTAAAACTGAAATAAAAATACTAACTAAATACCAACTAAACTAATAGAAATCATAAAATCACATTACAAAATGACTAATGTACTATACGAATATAGTATACATTCTGCAGTTATAATGTGTGCACATAATTCCATGCAGAACATGTTGTATTTATGGGCAGTGAAGTATATTTTTTGAGTGATTATATTCATATTTTCATTTTCAAGTAGCTCTCAGTGTTATTTTAGTATTATATATATATATATATATATGAGCACATGCCCTTTTTCTTCCTCTAGAGAAAGTGCCCTTTTTTTCTGGGGAGTGTCTTTTTTTAATTTTTTATAAATGAATATATGTATATAGCTATATGTGCGCGCGTGTGTGTGTGTGTGTGTTTCTGTTTGCGCACAGCTTTCCCTGTCAAACTAATAAAAAAATCAAAATGTCGGGTCGGGAAATGTTGAGACTGTCGAGCATATTATGTCTATGCTGTCGAGTTCCGACGCCCCTCCGCGCAGGCGCAGCACACAGCAGTGTAGCGCACGTTGATCGGCACATGCGCATCAGGCAGAGAGCCGCAGAAGTGAAGCCCTCCCTCCCTTTCAGTTGTGTTTGTCTTGGTGTGGAGGTGAGTGGTGATGAACAAAAGACTAAAAACTACCTGTGCCTCGAATTTACAGCTAATTACCCAAAAGACAAAAGGCTTATCTATCTACCTATCTATCTGTCTACCCTATCTATCTATCTATCTGTCTTCTGTATTTATCTGTCTGTCTACCAGCAGTTTGTGGGTAGTAAGAAACATAAGAACAGGTAATGTCATACTGCTTTGCCATTGTGCTTCATTTTCTTGTTTTATAGTTTTATAAGAATATTATATTTTGCAAAGATAAAAAGTGTGACTAATAGTGGGACTTTTATTTTGAAGTAAAAGGTGGTGTCGTCGACACATTACGTCGGACCATGCGGTAAAAACATTGGAGGTTTCTGTTGATATTTCACTAGTAATGCATCGCTGTTGTGTGTATTTCTTTTCCTTTAAGTAGTCTACTTAGAAGGATTTCACTGAGCTAAATGGAGGAAGAAAGCACATTAAAGCCCTTAATCAAAGCAATTCAACATGGAGTGCTGTGCACAGTCCGACAGCAACTCAATGAGCACGTCAACAAGCAGTCTGTCATCTATACTCATTTTGGGAAATCTGGAGATACTTTACTGCACTATGCTGCCAGACATGGACACATGGAAATTGTGCGTTATTTAGTAGAGGAGCTCAATATGGACATTGAAGTGTACAACAACGACTACAAGAGAGCTCTGCACGAGGCTTCTTCCATGAGTCAGTATGAGTGTGTGCGGTATCTCATTGCCAGGGGAGCGAAAATAGACAGTTTGAAGAAAGCAGACTGGTACGTCATAAGTTCTGAAGCCATTTAACGAATTTTCATGTAGTGGATGGAATATACTACCAGGAAGTAAAACTTGATTTAACGCCTTCGATAGCTCAGTTGGTAGAGCGGAGGACTGTAGAGGTTCAGCACTGATATCCTTAGGTCGCTGGTTCGAATCCGGCTCGAAGGAAAGATTTTTAGTTTTATAACAAAATACTGTTTGCC